ACACACACACACACACACACACACACACACACACACACACGTGTGCTTTCCTGGTCTCTAGGTGCCCCTCGGTGTGACCAGTGGTAGAATGTGTGATTGTCCCCTCCGTGGCCAATACTGTCCGTGTAGTAGTTACTTTATTTTCCAGAAGGATAAAAAATGAGCTAATTAACATTCTGTTTCTAACCATTACTGTAACGTGTATTTTGTTTGTCAAGAGACTGCTGATGTCTCCCTCTCCAATTTTCATGTGGAATGTCTGTTCTCGTTACCTGCTCACAAAGCCCATCCAGTTGGGTCACTGGAGGCACAAGAAAAAGAAGCAGCGACTGTTTGGTGGAGTCACCCTCCCCCGCCTTATCTACCTATACAATAGTGTTTCATGTTGTGAAATTGAAGGGTTTAGGAACTTCTTGAAGCTTTGAATTTGTGATTTTACACTATATTGTCTGCATTGAAATGCTGTGTTTTTCTTGAGCAGTTGATTTATTACCCAGTAAAATTCAAGTAATTTCTTTCACTCAATGTTACTGCCGGTTGTTGCCATGTTAACAATTCAGATTGCTGGCTTTTTGGTTCCCTCTATTTGCCAGGTTTTTTTTCTATCTTTTAAGTAAAAATTTGCTGAGTCAGTGTACTCCTCCATTTTCATATCATTAATATAATAAAGAATTAATAGTTAACATTTTGTCATGTTTGGCCATTTAGCCCTGCTTAGTTTCATTTTGATCAGTCGTGCTTGTCATGATTCAGAAAGGCTAACATCGCATTATCTTCTTCAGAAACAATCTGAACAAGCTGTATTGATTTTTTCCTTCTTTTTTAGTACAGTTGTTTAAGAATAGTTTGAATTTGCGCTGTAAAATACAAACAATTGCAACTAATGATAATGGTAAAGTTTTTTCTTTCATATTAATTGAAGTAGAAATAATACTGTCCTTTTTATTTATAAAGCAGAGCTGTAATGTTTCAGTGACTTCTGTATACAATATTTAGAATTCTGGTTTTGTCTGTTGGATTTGTCAGTTAGATTTGTTTGGGTTGAGTATATTTTTTTATTTTGTTATGGCATATTCTCAACTCTAGGGTCTTTCCTTCATGAAATGGCATCATATTAATAATGGCCAAAACTGTCATTTAGTTTATGGGGTTGGTTTTGTTTTGTTGGTTTTTTTGTGAGTTTGGGGAAGGAATGGTTTTAAAACAGAGGGAAAAAATAATCCATTGGAATTGTAAGTAAGGAACGTAGAAGGGTCTGGTAATACATTTTAAAGACGATTCAAGAATTATTTCTTCCTTTTGTGAACAGATTTTGCTAGCTTTTCTGGGTGATAAATACACTAAGCCTTTTTCTTCGCTCTACTGTGTTTAAAGGTGTCCTAAGAACTGATAGTTGAGTCTGAATCAGGACATTGCCAGTCATGAACTATGATGTAATGAGGGAATTCGTGTGATAATAATGTGTTACTTCAGTTGAAGGTGGCCATTAAACAACATGAATATTGTTACTTATTTAGTGTCATATAAGCCAGTTTCTTTTCCTGCAGCCATTCCTGCATTGGTTTCCGGCTTCTGCTCTGGTTGCCACACTGCAAAGCAGCTGCGGGTGATTATTTTGCCAAGTTCCTAAATTCTGCAGGTTTCCCTTTTATCTTCTTGTAGCCTTGAACAAAAGGAAGGAAGTGTACGGTGTTGTGTAGCAATCTTCCTTTTCATTTCAGGGTCTTTCTCTTTCTTGTTAATTTGTCAATACTGGCGGTTCTCAAGGCTGACTCTATTGAATGCACAGAGAGATCCATACAGTATGGAGAAATAACAATGCTTAAAAACCTCAGGAGTTTTTAACTTCCTTAGAATTCTTCGTGTCTCAGGATAATTTAAATGGGTTGCACAAGTGGTGCCATAGGTGGCCTTTGCAGTAAAAGAACCACTAAAATGAAATCTTTTGATTGTTCCTTCTAAGAAAACATACAAATATATGCAGTTGTGACCTCCCTTTTACATCCATTCATTCAACAGAGACAAATTCTTACCTGTGCAGAAAAATACTTGTTACATTCTAAAGATCTTTGTAGATGGGTCTGGTGGGGAAGGAAGTTTCTTGACCAAAACCAGAGTTGGCTAAGTCTTTGCCTGGTGACTCTGCCCTGACTACTGGGAAAAGCAAGAGCCACACAGAGACCAACCTGCTCTTCCTGCAGAGACTCGGGGGGCTGGGGGCTGGCTTGGTGTTCCCGCCAAGGAAGTAACACTCACTTTCAGTTTCTGTTTCATTTTGTTAGAATGTGCTGGAAGAATTTGAAAAAAATCATTTGAAACAGCCTTCCCAAGTGAAGTTTGCATAAATAGGAGTGTGTTGCTGGTTGTGTTGCAAACCGGTTCGAGGTCAGCGGAGAGGGTTTGCTTTAATGGTGTAATTGAATTACTCTTACAGGAACAGATAACTTACAGTTAACTGTGGCTGAAAGGGGAAGTTCTGGTGTCTTAGGCCTTGCTGTGTGCTGGCATCAGTGAGATGGCTTAGCAGTATCTTCAGTTTGTGTTCTAACATAAAGAGAATTGCTCTGAGCTGCATGAAAGGCTTGGGCACAGGTTTTTACATCCCTACTACAGACAGTGCTTCAGATATGTGTGATGTCTTTTAATGAGGATTTACTTAAAAAGGGGCTGTGGGAACACTGAGGGTCCCCAAACACTTAAATGTTAAAGTGCGTGTGATTTATAATTTCCCTGAGCATCTGTACAGAAAAATCCTGTTACATTTGTTCATAAAGTCAAGTTCTCTTTAAACACCTGTAGCCTAATTCAGGAAATAAACTACCCTAGCTTCTTCTCCAGTATTTATTGTAGGCTACCTGTTGTGGTGGCAGTTTCTGTATGCTCTGAATTGCAGAAGACAAAATATCAAGTTAAGAAAATATCAAATTATGACTATTTTCTTCAGCAGCTGCAGCAGGTATTGCAAATAATCAGAAAAAGAGAAACCTATCTACAAATCAGTGTGTAACAGTAACATTAGGGGCACCCTCAAAAATGTTATGGTTTGTACAAATCAAGAAATGAGACCAAAAAGTGACAAGAGGAAGCACGGTGCCAAAAACAAGGTTCAGCACTGAGATATTTGCAGATGGGCTCAGCTGATGAACCTGATGTTAAAGAGTCAGTATATACACAAATAGTAATCTTAAAAAATGTACTTTAGACTTGTATGCTTGGCTTCTGATTTTAGGGATTATATTCTTTAGGTGGAGAATTGACTAACTGCAGAAGGTGTTCACAGTGATGGGAATAAAAATAAAGGAGTAGTAGCTTTGATCCATGGTGAAAAGAATTGCAGTCCTTCCATTGCAGTTTGCTAGGGCAAAGCTTGCAGCACATGAAGGAAAAGTTGTGCAGTAGATCTTTGAGGCAGAGGCAAATACACATCTAAATTTGGTATCTTCAGAACATGGCCAAGTAGCTACAGTTTGAAATATGTACTTTAAATTTATGTAAACATATTTCATGTTTTATTAAATCATTTTAATACCACATGTACACCCACAGTTCTGTAGCGGCATAGCTTTGTTTTGATTCATCGGAACTTTGCCTCTGAAAACAGGAATAAAATAAGGCTTTGCTGGGCTTGGAGGGAGGCGACAGGATGTGATACACCTCAGTCTTGGGGTACAAACTGCAACCCACTCAGAACAGATTAGATCTGTAATTGGGTTCTCCATAGATGTGTTTTAACTATTTCCTAGCATTTCCTCATTTTATTTTTAGTGTTTCTCATTTTGATGCTTAATAAAAGTGTACTCAAAGTAAATTAAAAACATGGGCAAGGCTACTTATTTAAATATTCAGCTTGGTTTCCTCCCTCCTTCTGAATATTGAGTTTTAATAAAATCTCTTAAGAAAGGCCCTCATTTCATGGAATCACAGAATATGCTGAGTTGGAGGAGACCCACGGTTTTTGATTACTGTGATGTAATAAAATCAAGGAGTTCATAATTGCAACCAAATTTGAAACATACACCATAATCAGGTGAAAGTCATAGATTAACCAGCTGGAATTAGAATTTGTTGGAAGTCTGTCTGGCTTTTGAGAACTGTGCCAGTGTGAAGGACCTTCACTCCCATTTAAGTAAGTTCAACTGCTTCACTTCCAGGGCTAGTAAGTTCAGAAAGCTGGGAAGGTGATTTTATTTATTTATTTATTTACTCATTCTCAGAGTGTAAACAGGGTCAGGAGCTAAGGATGTAATAGGTTAAAGATCACGGCAATTACAGTGAATAGAAGGTGCCAGTTCAGTTGTTAAAAATGTGTGTTCATAGCACAGAACATTGCTTGCTTCTGTGTGTGTCACTTAAAAACTTCTGGGGCAGTTTTTCTCAAACTGAAATTAATTTCTGATCGGATTTATATTTCTGACTTTAGCTTTTCTTAGCCTACAGTAGAAGGAAGTAAATTATTTTATGACACGATAGAAGTGAAAAGAATCGGATCTTGGGAAACACATATGAAGATACTTAAGTTGCATAAGGAAACATGTTGAGGTAGTCTGTTCTTCAGTTTAGCAAAAATGAGTGAAATAAAAATGAGAAATTATTTCTTTAGCGAAAAAAGCAATACAATAAAAATAAAGTCAGAGAGGTTTCCTTCTTGCAGGTTGGAATGAGTGAAATCAATCCTTTTGTATTTAATTGATTATAAAATTAGAAATTGTCGTGTAAGTTAGACATTTGTTTTGCGTTGGGGAAATCAAATGTCCACAGATTAACCAGAGAAGATTCCTGTCGTTCATTTGTTGTCAATTTGCATTAGAATCAGTGAAGTGGAGCTTCCAAATCTGTTCTTAAATATTACATTTTCTTGAAAAGTGATGCTGACTTTTGTTATTGAGAGTGTTTGTAGGCCTTGTCTTTCAAGCTAATAAAAAACTGCATTATTTCTCAGAAAATATCATTTGCTTTAGTAAAATACAGAATTTTGAAAACCCTGTATTTCTTTTTCCCAGGCTGTTCGCTGCTATGAATCGCTAATTTTGAAAGCTGAAGGAAAGGTCGAGTCTGATTTCTTTTGTCAGTTAGGTCACTTCAACCTCTTGTTGGAAGATTATCCAAAAGGTAAGAATTTTTACTTCTTTTGATAAATGTCTTTGGGGAATTGTTCTTCAGTGTACGTGACACAACAGAGTGAAAAACATTGGGCTAATTCACTGTTTTCTTGGTTTGTACTGTATTTCAGAGCCCATAAAAGAACTAAGACTGGTGATGTATTTACAAAAACAACTTTATTCTTACTTCTCGTGTTTGTTTGTTTTTTTTTTTTTTTTTTAATGAAAAACAAAAACTCAACCAAAACACTCCTGGTTCAGGTATGAATATGAAGTGGGCTGGCAGGCCCAGTGTCTGATGGCTGCCTGCCTTTCAGTGACTGGGGGGGAGGGGTGTGAGTGAGAACAGGTTAGAACATTTACTTTTTTTTCCATGAGATGTCTTTTTTCATTGTCATTGTTTTTTAATTTTAACGTGAATGCAGTTCTGTTTGTGTAGGAAAGCAAACAACACCCCCACCCCGAAAATGTGTGCTCCCACCCCACGCCTTTCTCCAAACACAAATACAGTGTTTGCAGTTTCCTTGGGATGAGGAAACAGGGAGATGAGTTATAACTGAGAGTAGTTCAGAAGCACTGCTTGGTGACTCAGGATGGCTGTGGGCTGCTTGACAGCAGTGTCTGTGGGTCCACTGGTTCTCTGTCTGGCATTAAACAGTGTGAGTCTGGCTTCCTGGGACCTTCATTCCTAAAGTGAGAAACATGTAGATTTGATACTGCTCAGGAGGAATTTGCAGGTATTTAAATTCAGTCTGTAAATTGAGAAGGATTTGGGTGATGGAGGCATCTGTCTTGTACTCTGTCCCATCCAATGAGTGAGATATAACCACTGGTGTTTCCAAATCCAGAGGCATGGGAAAACCTGCAGGGAACATGGCAGTATGCTGTCTCTGAAATTTAATGGAGAATAGTCTGATCCTTTGGTGCTTCCATTTGAAGAAAATTCTGCCAACCCCTCTGCAAAAAAACTTACACCACTCTTTCTCATTGCTCTAATAAAGTTAGGTGTGAGTGCAATGTGACCTTCTTGGATATATTTTACTTAAAACAAAACCAGCCCAGGATTATAAACTGACCCGTATTAACTCTGCTTTTGAGTTGATAACAGTTAAGAGTGACAGGACCAGGTGTTGCTGTGGCTCAGAAACAGGGTTTACTGATGGGGCATCTGCCTTGTACTCTGCATATGGTTTTAAACATAAGCATAAAAAATCCAATTGATGTTTGAAAATATCAGTTCTCCAGAACTGTAAAAGAGCATTAGCACAACAATGTGAGAAGAAACATTAAGCCATTAAAAATCTGAATTAAAGTAGTTAATACTTTCTTAGATGCCTATTTAAAGTCACATCTCAATCGTAATAAAAGCCTCAAGAAGACAAAAAAAGCCTTGTTAGTTACGGAGTATTTAAAAAAAGATGTATCTGTATTTTCAAAGAAGTATAGTAGTAGTTGAAAATAGAAAATACTGGAGGAATTTTTAAAATAACAAAATGTAACAAGCCATAACAATAAAAAGATAAATAATTCTGTTGGGTGCACTGGCAATTTAACCAACACAAAACCCATGACATTGATGTTAAAAGGGAAGTTAAAGGAGTTTTTAAATTTAAGTGAGGGACCTGTATTCCTGTTCACTACAGTTTTTGAACTCTGGTACCAAAGACTGTAGAACTATTACCCTCAATGCAGAAAGTCATAGGTGTTCTATAACTAATTTACTACTGCTGTTTGAAAGAAGTAGAATGATTGTGTTCTGTTATAAAGTAAAAATAAGTATGTGATACAAATTTTGATACTTCATTTATCATACATTCCAATTGCATTATAGTTAAATTTTATATGATTTAGAACAGAAAAGTAAAGAGCGTTCAGAATGTTTTGATGTCACCAATGTATATTTTACTCAGATTTTAAGTCCTGAAGTTCCAGAAGTGTAAAATGCTGAAGGAGCATGGTCTTCAGAGCCATAAATCTGTGTAGTCTGAATTTAGTAATGGATAAGGTTATGGAGAAGTCAGTGTGTTTAATAAATAGGATGCAATTAATAAATATCACAGAATAGCTGTATATATAATGCTCCACAATTTCTTTTTCCCTTAAAAGTATGTTACTTAATTAAATATCTTCAGTAAATGCATGCACCTTTGTATAGAATGTATGAAGTGTTTTTTATAAAGGCAGAAGTAATAGTGTTCTTTGTTTAAAAATGCTTGCAATGAAATTTATGCAGAGCAGAACAAATTGTGACTGTAGAACTGGGATCAGTGGTCAAGATGAAGCAATGCTGGAGTGACAGATCTGGGTTTCATGTTGGTAGTTTCTTCTATTTAGAGCTGTCTCATTTTTTCACAAATACATTGACAGTGAAGGATCATGCAGCTGAGTGCATTTTGTTGCATGTTTTTAGTGTTTTGATGTAGCTAATACCTTCTTCTGAATGTACTGAGACTCTAGGTCATTTCTTCTAAGAATTAGGACTTAACCACCATAAGAGGGATCTTAGGAAAAAGTCATGGTGGGTTGCATCATTGAAACTCATATTATCGGTGCTAATCCTGCCCTTGCTGCATGTACTCAGAATATCAGTGAGGAGCAGGCTACCTTTGAATGTGCAGTAAGCTGATGTCTGATGCTGAAGTCTATTTATTTTTTTTAATGAAACCTGTTAAATATATAAGTTCTTTGAAGTGCAGTATGTTTTCTGTCACTTGTAGCTGCTGAATTTGAAAATCAATGTGCTTTCATTTTTCTTCCTTAAAAAGAAGCACTTTTCTCCAGGAAAAGTTTTAAGTTCACATCAGAAATGACTGGATGAGGTTCTTCTCTGACTGGATGAGGTTCTTTCTTCTCACTATTATATTCTTTCTTCTCACTATTATACCTTAGCTTAGACTGGAGTATCAGTGACACTGCTAGCCTCTAAAAGATCTGAAGCTGCTCTGCAGGTTGCAGTTTTCCCGAAATGCAGTAAGTTTGAATTGCTGTTGATAGCTAAAGGGTTTTCCTGCAGCCATGGAATGCAGTTGTTGTGTTATCAGCATTCTGCTGCTGTTTGGAGAAGGTCCTGTGCAAGGGATCAGGCTTTTTGCAGGTTTTGAATCTAGTGAGACACTGACTTATATTCAGACACTTATCACCAAGATTGCAGATGGATTGGTTTTGGCTTTGCCTGCATTTTCAGGGTGAGTTCTGTGCTCAGCTTTCATTGTATTGATCATGACGGATCAGAATTCGGCTTTGGGATTTCTTCAGATGGGAATGTTGACTCCTCCTGATGAAAACGATTTCATTTCCTCAGTAGAATTGTCTTAACTCTAATCTGATTGTTCCTCCTCTCTTTTTTGACAAGGCAGCTATTTCCCAGCTGTTGGATTGTTTCGGAGGTTCCCAAATCTCTCGTTGCCTGGGCAGGCCCTGAGTGGGACCCCGTGTCTGCTTTCTTTGTGCTGGCACAGCTGAGCCTGCAGCTGTGTAGGGAACTGATCCAACTGAAAAATAACCCCGCACAAAAATGCCCTGCAGTTGCCCCAGAACGTGAAACCTCAGCCCTGAGGTTTTGCTGAAGGAGGTGGATGGGTTGTCATGGAGGCCTTTGGATGCTGGGAGCATTCTGGATCCAGTTAGGACTCCTGGTGTGAACTGTGAATGGTTTGCTGCTGGATTCCTCGGGACAGGAATTTGGTTTTTAACCAAATTATTGTGCTCTGGTCTTGAAAGAAACACATGTTCCACCGATAGTTGGCTGGTTTCCATAAGCAGTGCAGATAGTGATGTTTTAAGGTTTGGGTTCTAGCTGGCTTGAGTTCTAATTGACAGCTGTTTAATGAGCTCGTGGATTGACATCATCTGTGTTTTCCTTAGGGAATCTTTATTTTGCAGAAGGGTCACATGCATTGACTGTGTTCAGTCTGTGACTTGGAGGACAGCTCACAGTGGCACAAATGGAGATGTGCTTTAATCATTTGTCTCCTTGAATTGCTGTTCTCTAAGCAAAATTCCTGAAAGTAGAAAATGCAGTTAATGAATGAATGATTTGAGAAAAACATGAAATTATTTCTGCCACAGTTACTAAAATTAGTTACAATAAATACTGTACTGAAATAATTCCTATTGTTGTACTCAAGTGGTAGTCTCATTTTTAAATGTTCTATGTCAGAACAGTTTTTGCAGTCTTTATTTTGATTATAGATGGTGAATGCCTTGTAAAAATATCAATATAAAAACATTTTAATTAATTTATAAGAGAATGTTTGTTAGTTCAGGGGCATTTTTTTAGTAATCATTAATCTAAAATTTAAAATCATACTAAAACACCCCCCCAATGTTAATTGAGCAGCTCTTTATGGTTGTTCTTTTGTAAAGTTGCTTGGTTGTGAGAAACTCCCAAATTCAGCAATACATATGTGTTCTTTTGTACTTACAATTCCAGCTCTGTAGGGAATTTCTCTGTGGTGGTTAACGTCTTTCAGGAATTTGAAAGGAAGTATTGTTATTGGGAAGCATTTTCATGGGCTGTGCTCTGAGGTGCAGGGTAGCAGTGGTACTTTTATAAAATATAAGGGAGAACTTTGCAGCATGGATAGGATTGTGCTGATTCCTGCTGGGCTGTCTTGTCTTACTGACGAGTCCTGAAGAGCTAGAATGAATTTAGTGGCTTGAATGAGACAAGGAAGAGATGACTATTTCAAATAATATCTAGATTTAAGTTTTTTTTATTTTGTTTGTAACTGGTACTAACTGGTAGAATTTGAGTTGCTTCTATTTAGAGCTGTTTAATCGAATCCTGAAGATGAGAGAAATTCTCAGTGGTTAATTTCAGGTAGTTTAAACCGTTATGTGAAATTTCTGTAGAAAGAAGGAAGCTTAGAACATGAAAATGTTCTTTATAAATTGTGTGAATATGGAGCAGAGGTTAGCAGTCGACAGTTTTACTATAAAATATACCAGGGCCATGTTTTTGACTGGTTGTCTGAAAATTTTCATTTTGGACAGTGTTCTAAATAAACA